AATTTCTAATGGCAGGTGGGACGGGGAAAATGCCAAACAAATGAAGAAGTTCGTTGCAACAGTATCTCCAAGAACCAAAACCTAAAACCAAATAATTATAAATAATTCCTCTAAATAATTATGGAGGAACATTTTAGGGAAAAATGGTTGGTCTATCACTTGTGCAAGAAGTATGAACATATTAAAAATAACATGAGGACCATGTAGAAACCCATGCAATATTTCTGGCGGTGTTAAATTAAAAATGTAGAACACAAAACAGTACAGACACAATGATTATTGCCATGCAATATAGAATAACTGGGGGAATATAAAAATACTTGTTAGACTAGGGTCCTTTTCCTTTTCTCAAATACTTCCTTTTAATACCATTCCTGTCAGTTTATTGTCATTAAAAATTTTTTATTTCAAAGGAAAGAAATAAGGGGAAAGGAGCAAGATTCTAAATTCCTACAAGCCCCTGCAATCCAAGGAAATGCTATGATATTACTGATAGGTCACAGGAGGAGTGGATGTCTGCAGTATTGCTAAAACCAAGGGTCCCTGACCCCAATCTGCCTCAAAGAGAATACTTCTCATGTCACAAAGTCATTCCCACGGAGCCAAGCTGCACTAAATGTGAATTCTTTATTGCAAAACTTCGAAGGTAAGAACTTTTTCCAGACATCTGTGGAATTAGTATTAATGAGAATGCCCTGAACTTCATATGCACATCTACGCAGCAGAAACTTCTCAGCCAAGGAACTGCTGGGCACACTTCTTGATGAGATGTCTAAGCCTGAAGGCATCAAAAAAGTACATTTCCATATTGGGAACATAACTGGTTTCCTCTTTAAGACTTTTTCTACCACCTCCTGTCCACATTGTAATTCTCCTGTCTTCTCAAATGAATAGTTAACATATGTCAAGGATATAAGGCACATACTGAGGCACTTACTGCCTAACCCTATTACTAGAAGAACCAATCTCAGCGGGAAACTGGAATCTTCCCACCACACTGCCCCAAAAATGAAATTTAAGAAGCACCCAAAAAATATTAAATACTCTTAATAAACACTTCTTGACATTACATATTTTCCTTGCTTACCTTAATCTCTGAATTCCAAGAAAGGAAACAACCACAACTCTTATAGCTCAACCCCCTCATTTTACAGGTGGTAAAAAGATATACAGAGAGGGGAAGTGACTTGTCCTGAGTCACCCAGATAAGTAATGATAAAGGGAGGATTAAAACTCAAATCTCCCAGATTTTCAGCCCCGATTCATTCTCCTACATCAAGCTTTTTTATCCCTTGAAATCTCTAGAGCTCCTGGCCTAAATAATTAGTATCACAGAACTTAAAGTTAGAAGAGACCTCAGAGAGACTTACTTAATCCCCTCATTAGGCATATGAGGAAACTGAGGCCCAGAAAGATTAAGTGATTTGCTCTCAATATCTTGGACGGCAGGGAAAAAGTGTAACTTAAGCTCAAAAAACTAAAACAGCTATGAGAAGGGAGGAGAATCTCAACTGGGTAAAATTTTAAAAGGATGTACATTCTAGACCAGGGGCACTTTCAAAATGTAGTTCCTGGACCAGAGCTTCAGCATCACCTGGGATCTTGTTAGAAACGCAAATTCTAAGGTCCCACGGGAGACTTAATGAATCAAACTATGGGGATGGGGATGTTCAAATCAGACAACATGTCCCTAAGAAATGAACTTCAGTGGTCATGTTGAGTCTACTTTGAAAATCACAACTATAATCAACAGCACTAAAATTTATGCATTCTTCTATAGGTGTACCATTCTTCATTTTTTAAAGCTTTTAGAAGTATTATGAAAGTTTTTAAGTAAAGTATGAAAACAGACTGGAAAACCAGATTTGGGTATTCATCTGGTTCCAGTTCTGGCTCTGCTCCTTACTGGCTGTTTGTCCTTGGGCAGGTAACCGAGCTCTCTAGCTCAAGTTTCCTTCTCTATAAAATAGGCATGCCACCCACCTCAAAGGGCATGTTGAGAATTAACTGTAAGAACACATCCAAAAGCACTTCAGTTCAGCATCTGGCACAGAGTAGGCAGGCAGTACAGCACGGTTATTAGGAGCTTCAGCTATGAGGTAGGTGCTTTTCTGCACCTCAGTTCCTTCATCTGTACAACAGGGATTAAAGACAGTACCTTCTTCACAGGGTTGTTACAAAGATTTTGAGAGATGGTGCAGGTAAATAATGCATCTTTTATATCTATAAAATGTTACTATTTTTGAAGAGCTTTTGCATCCATTAATTCAAATGATCTTCACCATTTCCACAAAAGGATGGATGCTTTGATTGATTATGGACTAGATTCCAGACTGTACCATCTCTTAGGAACAGGAGGAGTGGACATCAATCTTACAGAAAGGAAATTGCACGAATAGTGCATGTGGGGAATGAACAGGACTGAAAATAAGGAGATCAGGATTCTGGTTCTATGCCACTACCTTAGCCCACAACCTCAGGGAAGTGCTTTACCAGAATGGGATTCACTTTTCATCTGTAAATAAGTGGTCTGCATGAGGTTATCTATAACATCTCTCCAAATAAAATTCAAACTCCTTATCATGGCCTACAGGAAGGCCTACATCTCCTATTCATCATCTACCATTCTCCTGCTTACTCACCATGTTCCACCTCCATCAATCCTCTTCCTGATCTTCTACCAGGCTACGTCAGCTTCTACCTCATAGCCTACATACTTGCTTTTCCCTCTGCCTTGATCCTTCTGCCCTTTTACAGGATTGTCTCCTTCTCAACCTTCAGTCCTTTAACAATAATTCCTCAGAGTCCTTCCCAGACCACATTACCAAAAGTAATAGGTCCTGTCTCCTACTGCCAGGGGTTATTGTCTTTCACAGCACTGTCTAATAAACATATACTGAAAGTTACAAATGAGCCACGTATGTAACTTTAAATTTTCTAGTAGCCACATTTAAAAAGTTTTAAAGAAGGTAACATTATATTTTCTTTAAGCCAATATATCCCACGTATCATCATTTCAACATGGAATCAATATAAAGATTATTAATATATGTTACATTAATTTTTGTCATACTAAATCCTGGAAATCCAATGTGTATTTTACATGTATCACTCTCAGTTCCAACTAGCCACATTTCAAGTGTTCAGTAGTCACAGGTACCCAGTGGCTACCACACCAAACAGCACAGTCCTACAGTAAACCCTGCGTACCCTTCAAAGCACCTATCACAATCTGAATTTCTTGTTTGTTTACACACTTATCTTGTTACTTTCCCACCAGACTACAAGCTCCACAAAAGCAAGAACCTTGTCTGTTTTGTTCAATGTTGTATACTCGAGGATTTGGTGCCTTGCACAGTAGGCATTCAATAAATGTTTTTCGAGCAAATGAATGAAGCTCTTTTAGCTTTAATATTCTGAGTCAATGGGCTAGCCATTCTACAACTCCCAAGCAGACATACAACCACTCATTCAACAATCCTCCTATTTCCTTTCTTCTTTCATGTTCAATAACTGTCTTAAAAAGAGAACTCTCTTGGCTATATATCAACCATTGTTTAAAAGTTCTTTTCTACAATGTCTAGAGTCACCAAGGTCCGTCCTTTGTGTATTGGCAGAGGGAGTGGCATGAATGTAATTGCTAACATGTACTGAACTTTTACTCTTTGACAAGTATTGGTCTAAGCACTTTACATTTCACAACAGATTTATGTGGTAGGTGCCATCTTTGCCCCTATTTACATATGAGGAAACCAAGGCATAGAGAGGTTAAGTATTTTGTTCAAGGTTACAGCAGCCAGTTAATAGCAAAATAGAGATTCCAAGGAATATGCGGCCCCTGACCCATAGCTCTTAATCACCATTCTCTACTGCAGAGCTGTCCAATGGAAATATAAGATCACTTGTATATGTAATTTTAATAGCCACACTAAAAAGCTAGTAGCTACATTTAAAAGTCAACAGAAACAGGTAAAATTTATTTTAAATTTTATTTCACCCATTATCTATAATATGATTAATCAATATGATCAATAATCAAGGTAATTGATTTGATCAATATGATCGTAAAATCAGTATAAAAACTTTATTTTTCATATTGAATCTTCAAAATTCAGCATGATTTTACACTTAGAGTACTTTTCAACTCCTACTAGCCCTATATCAACTGTCTAACAGCCACATGGACAGCTACCATATTAGACATCAGGGTTCTACTGCCTCTCACAAGGAGCCTCTTTAGGAAGTCAAAGAGGGGGAAACCTTTGAACTGGAAGCCAGGAGACCTCAGCTCTAATATTACCCAGCTCTTACTTGTTGAGTGACTTTGGAGAAGTCCTTTCTGCCCTCTGCGCCACCCATTCCCACCAAGTCGCCTGCGCAGGGAAGACAAGATTCCTAGGGTCCCATCCCATGCTAGAATTCCAAACATCTCCCAACAATGGCAGTTAACATGGGAACAGCTTTTACACTTTAAAATCAGCTTTCATATCCAATAGTTAATAGAGTCCTCAAACAACCCTACTAGGTACTTATTACTGTCTCCGTCTTATATATACAAAAACTGAAGCTCAAAGAGCGGAAAATGACTTGTCCAAAAGCCACATGGCCAGTTAGTGGAGAAGCCGGGGCTCAAATGCAGGAAAGACCAGTGCCCTCCCACCACCACCACCTCAACGACTCGGGGACGAGATGGTTGTGAAGATGGTCTGAGGCCTTCAAGAAGAGTTGAAGGGAACCAGGCCCCAGTCCAGGGTAGGGTAAGAAGAGGTCCAGGCTGGAGTTGAAAGGAAGCGGCTTGGGTTCTGAGAAGGAATGAGCTGAAAGGGCCCAGGAGAGTCTCAGGAGAGTGAAGTGAAATGAGGAACTCGAACATCAGAAGTGAGGGTTCGCGGGCCGGGGACAGAGGTGAGAGGAGGTGAGATGAAGGGACTCTGGTCCCGCAACCGGAAACCCCTACCCCGGGGAGGGGACGGTACTCCGGCCCTCCTCGTCCCTCATACCTGATAGCTCAGAAGTTCGCCCACATCCATGGTTCCAGGCCCAGCCAACACTTGCTCCTCGGTTTCCTCCACTCACGCCCAAACCGCGGCCCCCTGCTCCAGCCACACTGCCGGAAAGCGCTGTGAGCGGGTCGCATTGCCAATGAGGTAAAAGTGCGACTGACACGGAAGCCGGCCACACTGCAGTAAAAGGCAATGCCACCGTAAAGCGCGCTGCATTTACGACGGTACTGCTTCCGCCCGGAGCCTGAGGGGGAGGGGAAAGGGGGACGGAGACATGAAGGAGGGCGGTACGGTGAGTGAAAAGACCCAAAGAAGCTAAGATTTATTGGGTGCCCCCTCTGTGCAGGGCGGAGTGCTTAGTGTTTTATTTGTGCTCTTCTAATCCTTCCATGATCTAGCCAATTTTATCCTCATTTCACAAACAAGGAAATTGAGGCATAGAACTGCACTGTCCAGTTCTATACCCACTAACCACATGTGGCTACTGAGGGCTTGAAATACAGTCTGAATTGAAATGTGCCGTAAATGTAAATAAAATACACACTGGATTTCTAAGAGTTCTATTGATTACATGTTGAAATTACATTTTGAATATATTGGGTCAAATAAAATATAAAATTAATTCTCCCGTATCTCTTTACTTTTTAAATGTGGCCAGTAGAAAGTGTAAATTACATATGTGGCTCTCTTTGTGGGTTTTGTTGGTTTTGTTTTTTGGTTTTTTTGGGTTTTTTGGATAGTGCTGACTCAGTATATTATCCAAGGCCTACAACTATTACTGACTGAGAAACTGCTGGTGATCACATCTCCCTCTCTGGGCTTCTGCTTATTCATCTATGCAAGGCCCGATGGGAACTGATGATCTTGTTTCTACCTCAGAGATATAAAAAGGTTTTCTGTAGGAGGAAGTTGGCCATGATTGGAAGAGAATCATTCAAAGAGTGCATCTGAGCTCCTGAGATTTAAATAAGGCTTTACCTTCAAAGGGTGTTAAACCTCTCCCTTAATCTTCTTAGCCATTTAGCCCCGACTTTCACATTCATGATACTTGTTTTAGTCCGTTCAGGCTGCTATGAGAAAAATATCATACACTGGCTGGACTGCAAACAACAGAAATTTATTTCTCACGGTTCTGAGGCTGGGAAGTCCAAGACCAAGACACCAACAGATTCGTTGTCTGGTATGGCTGCATTGTGTTCGCAGACTTTCTCACTATGTCTTCCAAGGTAGGAAGGGGTGAGGGATTTTTCTCCAGCCTCTTAGAAAAGCACTAATCCCATTCATGAGGGTTCCGCCTTTCTGACCTCATCACCTCCTGAAAGCCCCACTTCCTAATACCATCACCTTGAAGGTTAGGATTTCCATTTATGGATTTTGGTGGTTTACAAACATTCAGACCACAGCAATATTTTGAGCCATCCTCCCCATCCCATCTCCACATGTCTCCAATTATACAGAAGTTATTTTTATAGAACTTCTCAAAGGGCCAAATCTTCTCTTTTCCCTGGCCACCAGTCCCATAACTCATCCAACTCCTTCTCATCCTTCAGGTCTCAAAGGTCACTTTCTTAGAGTAGTTGTCCTCAACTCATCTTCAGCCCAAGTAAGCAGCCCCTTCTCATTCCTCATAATTCTCTTTCCCAGCACGTCCTCTATTGCACACATCTCTCCATCTGCAATTTTCTACTTAATGGTTGATCACTTGATGAGAGCAGGAACTGTGTCTGTCATGTTCACCATTATATCCTAGTACAAAAAGCCTAGTACCGTGCCTGGAACACGAGGAGGTTTCATGATGGGCTTTATGAGCCATGGTAAGGAGACTGGGTTGACGCTAAGAGCATTGGAAATAAATTGAAAAGTTTTAAGCAGGAAAGTTTTGTGATTGGGTTTATGTTTTTAAAGAATCACCTATGCAATCCGATTTGAACTGAATTATTTGGGTGTCTCCCCACCCCACCCCCCTTAGCTGTAGGGACTATGCCTAATTCAAGGAGGCAGGATGAGTAATGCTGGGAATGTACCCTTTGGAACTGTGTACCCTTTAGAATTATGTCCCAGTACTTGGTGAGCTGGAGCCAGCTTGTATAAACAGGATAGCAAGAGCCTATGGATAAATTTTCAGGAAATTTTCAAGTTGGTATCAGGTTGGTTGCTTGAAATTAGCCACAGTGGGAGTATTTACACCATGGAAATCAAACAAATGCTGCAGGGTTTTTGGTGTTTCAGAGAGCTGCTTGTTACACATTTACCAATACACCACTGATTCTAATTCTCCTCAAAGTTCCACATCTAGCCCTATGCTCTCTGGCAAGTTATTTTCTCTCTCTAAATTGTGGTCTCTTCGTCTATAAGGTGATTCATTCATTCATTCATTCAACAAGCATTTACCGAGTGCTTCCTCAATGACCGACACAATTGTAGGCTCTGACAATATAGAAGTTTGTATGAAAAGAAGTTCATGCCCTCTTGGAACCCACATTCTAGTTAGAGAAAGCCTAAGGAGGAATATAGCGTTATGATCCTCATTTTACAGATGTGGAAACATCATCAGCCGACTTCATCTCTGTGTGCCTCATCCCCTTGCCCGCAAAGTGGAGATTCAATTGCATTTACCTCATAAGATTATGGGGAATTTACATAAGATGCTGCATGCAAAGCACTTAGCAGGTGCCTGGCACAGAAAAGTACTCCAGCACTGTTTGGTGTTAATGTTATGTGGAGTTAAGTGGGAATTGAAGGGGCAGAGAAGCAGGAAAAATGAGATCATCCTATACTCTTTCTTTTGCATTCAATCTTGTCTGTGTGTTTTTAGAGACCAGGCGTTAAAACATAGAATCATAAGGCAAAACCCTATGAGAACCAGATTTGGTGAGCACCCTGCAATGAGGATAAAGAAGGTTTCCCACAGAAGGTGCTATTTGCACTGGGGTTTAAAGGATGAGAAGAGTTTGCCAAGAAGACATGGTAGGAAACTGGTGACCCAGGCAGAGGAAGCAGCATGAGCAAAGACATAGAGGTTGGAACACTTCTTGTAGACAAGGCATAGGATATACAGAGGAAAAAATGGGAAGTAAGGCAGGAGAGGTGGCTGGGGAAGATCTTGAATAAGGTTGCCAAATTTAGTGCATAAAAATATAAGACATTCAGTTAAATTTGAATTTGAGTTAAACAATGAAATTTTTTAGTATGACTATGTTCCATGCAATATTTAATAACATACTAAAACCTTTTTGTTGCTCATCTGAAATTCAAATTTAACTGGGCATTCTGTATCTTATGGCAATTCTAATCATGGAGGATCTTGAATATCATATTAGGGCACTTTGATTTTATCTTGATGAGAGGGTCCATTAATACTTTCTTGGGTATCTCCAGGAAATAAGGTTTGAGAGGCTTGTCCTTCAGGTTTCAGCTTAATGTCACTGTATCAGAGAGGTCTCCTCTGACTTACAAAATCTAAGACAGTCCCTCTCCTTCCCGCAAGATTCTCTATCAGTATTCCTAACCATTATCTTCAGAACATTTGTGATTGGTGTTTCTATATTTATTTGCTTTTCATTCATTTGAAGTCTGTTTTCCCTTCCATATTGTCATCTCCAAAAAGCCAGAGATTGCTGGATTGTTCACCACAATAACCTCAGAATCTAACACAATACTTAGCATTTAATTGGCACTCATTAGCTAGTGGTTGGTTTAATGGATGAGCCAATCAATCCACAGATTGATTGACTCATTCCGGGCAATAATACTAATACCTTCAAACCCCTACCCCAAATCCTAATGCTGTGCTATTCCAATTTTAAAGATGTGAAATGGAAGTTCAGAAGAGCTACAGTGTATGCTAAGTGAAATAAGTCAAACAGAAAAAGGTAAATACCATATGATCTCACTTATATGTGGAATCTAAAAAACAAAATAGATTTGTGGATATAGAGAACAGATTGGTGGCTGCCTGAGGTGGGGACGGGAGGCTCATAGAAATGGGTGAAGGGGGTCAAAGGTACAAATTTCTGGTTATAAAACGAATGTCATGGGGATGTAATGAATAGCATGGTGACTGTAGTTAATAGTTAAATATTTGCAAATAACTAGGAGAGTGGGTCTTGAAAGTTTTCATTACAAGAAAAAAGGTTTTTTTAACTATGTATAATGATGGATGTCAACTGTACTTATTGTGGTGGTCATTTTCCAATATATACAAATATCAAATCATTACATAGTATACCTGAAACTAATATAATGTTATGTCAATTACACCTCAAAAAAACTAACAAGGGGGGAAAGGGGGGGCTACGGTCTATGCACCAAGCAGTCCAAAAACATCATGATGATGATGATGATGATTTCAGAATGGCATCCACAGAGATGGGAGAAGGGCACCACCCAAGAGACCAACAGCTGAGCTGTAATCTTTTTAAAAAACGTAACTTGGAAGAATGATCTCTTCCAGAAAGTTTTTAAATAGCTGTGGGCTGCCTAGCTTCCTTAAACTTCAAGCTTTAGCTACTCCAAGATGTAATCAGAGTAGCTTCCTCCATCTTTCATTGCCTCAGTAAATTATTTATTGGAACAGCCTTTAAGAAAATATCCTCAAAAAACACTCATAAAGTATATTTATCACCAATATTGAGTTCCTACCCTGCAATTGTGGGCTGATTGAAAACATGTAACAGTGCCTGACTCCTCTATTTAGGCACTGAAGGAGTGGGGAAGAGTTATAGGGTGGGCAGTGGAAAGGGGGATACGTTTTCTGGGGAACAGAATGCAATTGCTAGGGCTCAGGAGGAGTCCCTATTCTCTCTGCCTCTCATCACCCAAATCCAGATCCCTGGATCCTTTCCACTCTAATATTTTTAAATAGTTGTAAAAACTGAAACGTAGAAAGTTTAGTTATTTGCCCACAGTCATAGAGTTAGTAACTGGAAATACCCCAAACCAAGCCTGTCTGACTATGCATTTCACAGTAGGGATTTGGGCTCAGGTAACCTTCAAATGGTACTGACATTTATGATCCAGGCACAGATGATTGTTGAATGCTAAAGAGTAATAATCTCTCCCAGAAGATCTTCGTCTCGATTAGACACAAGAATTTATATTCTTAGATATACTGTGAGCCACGTAAGAACTCAATAGTCATGGATATGCAAAGAAAAGGAATTATTTCAGGTTTTGTTGACATGTGATGATAGAATTGGATCTGTTGTTGAAAGAGTCCTAATCTTTTAAAGATCCATACTAAACTCTATATATGAAATAATATGATAACTAGAATTTGCTTCAAAATGATCCAAGGTGGGGGCTGGTGTGGGTGTGGATGGAAGTAGAGATGAAAGGGTTATTGGTGAGTTGATAATTGTAGAAGCTGAATGAAGGATACATTGGAGCTCATTTTATTATTCTCCTGCCAACAGGATGGCAGCAGCAGTCCCAGGCACAACAACATCAAGAAAAATAAGAGAGATCATCTTTTTCTGGGCCTTTGTCTTAGGAATAAGGGATGAAGGAAGCCAGGATGAGGGTAGGGGCCAACTATGTCCATTGCACAAAGAAAGGATTCTACAGTCAAATATGTATGACTGGAAAAGCTATGAAAACCAGTACTCACAATGGCTCATAAGGATGTAATGAGTTTCGGGGCACCTGGGTGGCTCAGTTGGTTAGGTGTCCAACTCTTGATTTCTGTTCAGGTCATGATCTTGGGGTCATGGGATAGAGGCCCTCGGCAGGCTCTGCACAGCATGGAGCCTTCTCTAGGATTCTCTCTCTCTCTCTCCCTCTGCCCCTCCACCTTGCTTACTCTCTCTTTAAAAAAAAAAAAAAATGTAATGAGTTTCATAAACCCTTAATTCTGAGGGGCTCCCCTTATCAATGCCCCACACCAATGATCCTCATGAGTCAGACTTTCCAGAGATGCTTTCATAATAAGAGATGGAGAGAACTATTTATGCAATTGCTATTTGGGGTCAGTGAAAGGACATTGGTCAAGACCACTTCTGGCTTGGGAAGTAAGCAGTCTCCTTAACCAGTGAGCTGAAGCAGCTGTTTAATACCCAGCCTTAGCAGTAAGGATGTATATGAGTTATCAATTGCTGGGTAACAAGTTACTCCACAACATAATGGCTTAAAAGAACAATGAGCATTGGGGCGCCTGGGTGGCTCAGTCGTTAAGCGTCTGCCTTCAGCTCAGGTCATGATCCCAGGGTCCTGGGATCGAGCCCCGCATCGGGCTGCCCCCTCAGCGGGAGCCTGCTTCTCCCCCTCCCACTCCCCCTGCTTGTGTTCCCTCTCTTGCTGTGTCTCTCTCTGTC